ATGAAAATGGTAATTTAAAAGTAGGTGTGGGTGTAATTTCCTCTCTTTTTCATTGTGTATCATAACAAAGACAGGTGGTAAATTCCTATTTATTTTATTGGACTCTTGATGCTGCTGTGGAAAATTTAGTCTATCACTATGAAGATGAATGGGCCCCCAGCCAATAAGGGGACACCACATGGCCACTGTGACCCTAGCCATGTCATTTAATTCTGTTGCCACATCAATTCTATCAACTTTTTTTTTTATCAAAACTCAGCTGTCTGAGTTGGTTCATTACACGTGGAAGTGCAAGAGTCAAGACCACGCGTTTTCCAAGAAACTGCTTTCTTGCAGTTGAACCCGCCAAAGACCCTTGAATTGGAAACTCAAGGCTGCATTTTCCAGTCAACAAAAACACCCCAAATTCCACGCCAGTATTGGTCGTTCTCAACAGTAAAGTCTAGTCAACTCCACTCTCACCTCTCAACTTCCCAATATGTATATGATTCTTGGCCTGCCCCTTACAATTCTTGCACTTGTCTTTACACGCGTTCATGCACTTCTTTCACACACACGCAAGAAATTTATTGAGAGCCAGAATGAGCAGGTATGCAAAAATTGCTTTCACGCTATTGATTTTCTTGATTTATATTCAATTGGGGTTCTCTCAGTTGCCTTCAGATCAGATTAATACCATGAGTAGGGTCTATGAAATAATTAAAAATGATACTGGCACACAATTTTTTTGGAATAATGTCGCAAAGGACTCAAGCCCATGCTCATGGAAAGGAGTTAAATGTACTCCTGATAATTCTTCAATTATCGAAATATCTTTCCGCTTGCTTTCAATTTCTGGTTCTGAATTTCTCCCAGTTATTTGCCAGATTGGTACTTTGAAGACTATTGATCTCTCTCATAATTATTTGAGCTCAATCCCAGGTGGGTTCATCACTGATTGTGGAGAGATCAGTGGATTGAAATTGTTGAATTTTAGTATGAATCGATTGGTTGCTTCTTTGCCTANCATAATTATTTGAGCTCAATCCCAGATGGGTTCATCACTGATTGTGGAGAGATCAGTGGATTGAAATTGTTGAATTTTAGTGTGAATCGATTGGTTGGTTCTTTGCCTAATTTCACTGGTTTTAGGATGTTAGAACACTTGGATTTTTCGCTAAACTCACTTACTGGGAAAATTGATTCACAATTTCTTGAATTGGATTCCCTCAAGAGTCTGAACCTTAGCCAAAACAATTTCACAGGGGCTGTTCCAATAAACCTAGGAAAATCGTATCTTTTAGAGGAACTACAGCTTTCTTTCAATCAATTCACCGGTGGGATTACTTCACAAATCTTAAAATATGGAAATTTGAGTTTGATTGATCTTAGT